CGTCTCCCCCCCTCTCTTCTGCTCGGGGGGCAGGGGAAGTAGTGGCACGGGTGGGAACAGAGTAGCTACAAATCAAAATGCAAGCCTTGGCTTAGTACCAGCAGGCAATTAGGTTTCAGGTTCTCTACATATGTTGACCATTTTGTAGGAGGACACAGGTTATGTTTGTAGCAGAGTACGTCAGGGACTCGCTGCCAGCCTGCAGCAGGGAGAAGGACAAAAATAGGCCGGTTTTGGCAATTGCTGGAAAAGATTGCGCCACAACTTTAGCGTCACGATGTTCAGAGAATCTCGGCTTAAAAGTGAATTTTATGACCCTTGCACCAAAGGTTTGGCTTAGAGTTGTTTGGGTTTCTTCTGCATGGTGAAAGAAAAGGGTAAGGTGCTTTTCCCTATGGCAGGCTTGCTCTGCAGTGCTTTGGCCCAAATGTTCCTGCGCTGTTTGCCGTCACTGGCCAAACCAAGCTCCCCTCGAAAAGTTAACCCTCAAAGGGCAGAGAAGGACCTGGCGTGCTCGGTTTTGCCTCCTCAATAAAAGCAGGCACGGGAGTTTGTACTGTGTTCGGGTTTGCTTGGTTCTTGTTAGGCATTCCACAAACCCCAAGTCAGTATGGCTTTGCTTTTGCTAGATGCAAAAGACTGCCGTTGCGTAGCTTTGTCTGCCCTTGTGTGAGAAAGTTCAGTTGTTAGTGGAGAAGGCGTGCTTCCCCATCAGATTCCTCGGGTGCGAGCGGGACCTGCTCAGCTGGCTGCTTTCCTTGGAAAAGTCTGAGCGCACCCCAGTCAAAACCCTTTCCCCTTCCTGAAACTGGAGCCTGGTGTTTGACTTGGGATGTGTCGCAAACAATCCGGCTACTGTAGTTTAATAATTTACCACATATCACTCGACCCGTCCCACCACGGAGTTGCTTTCCCCTTTCTGTCTGGAGCGAAACTCTCGCAGTGGCGTGTGCATCAGCTGGGGCGTAGTAATCCATTAAGCCTGTGATTATCTAGATGCACCCTCAACCGATGCCTCACCTACTCGCATAACCTTTGGTACTTCAACAGTACACTCGCACTGGAGCGCTAGGCTGGATGCAGTTATGTTAATCGTCGCCGATCTACGCGAGCGTTTTGGGGGGCGCGGAAGCCCGGCGGTAGCTAGACCTTGCATGCGGATGAGGGATCTTGCCCTGCTTGCTCTTCAGCCGGGCGCGGCTTTCACAAAGCAAGCGGGGCACCGCCTGGGGCACCGGGGTGAGTAAAGGACAGGGGAATATTCGGGACGGACTTGGCCGTGGGAAGGACTCCCTTCTCGGTGCCACTTCCCAGGAGCCGCCCTGGGAAGAGCAGGCTGACAGAGCTGGGGGGGGG